TCTCTCTCTCAAAACAATGATCTGTCCTTTCTCTCTCTCTATCTCCATTTTGAGGTTGATTCATGAAATATTATAAACCATAAAAAATGATTTTTTTGAAGTTTTAGAACGTCATAATCTTACATGTATAATTATAAGTATTCTGTTTCCATTATTGTTATTGGAATATCAATAAATTGAAAATTCTAAAATGGGTCAGCGACTTAAATGCATACCCTACATGTTCACATGCAAAGGGTGATAGGTTGTTAGCTTTAATTGCTAAGTTCATAGAAAGAAGCAACTCAATTTATCTTTTTTCCTTTTTTTTTTTGGGTGGGTTTTATACGCTTCACAGGTGAAGCATCAGATGTCGTAGTTGAAAGCAAAGTTCACTCTGGATTTGTATTTGATTCTCAGTAGTGTTACGGCGATGTCAGTAGAAGAAAGGCCGTCATCTTCATCTTCAACATCGTCAACGACGTCGTCGTGTATGGTGGTGGATCCGTTGTTGAGGGATCTGAGTGAGAAGAAACAGAATTTCCGGCGAAATGTAGTGTCTCTTGCAGCGGAGCTCAAGGAGGTTCGCAACCGTCTCGCTTCTCAAGAACAGTCTTTTGTTCGTGAAACCCTAACAAGACAGGTCAAATTGATTTAGTATGATTTATTGTTGTGTGAAATGATTTTTTTACTTTTTTTTGTTTTTTTTCCTTTATTTGTGAAGTAGAGTTTAAGTGTGGGTCAGGCAATTCTTGGACTTTGTCTGATTATTGTGTGTTTTTTGTTTTATCAGGTAGCAGAGAGTAAAGCTAAAAAAATGGAAGAAGAGATAAGCAAATTGCAAAAGAATTTGGAGCAGAAAGACGGGCAGCTTCAAGTTTCTTCTTTAAACACCGAGAAGGTAAAATAATCATGAGTGTCACTCTACTTGAAAAATTATGCATCTTTTATTGCAATTATTTCTTGCATATATTTGGTTTTGATGGTTTTGAATTTTAGATAAATTTAATGGTTTTGGATCTGGGTGGAGTTGGGTTCCAAGATCTTGCGTGGGAGGCACCTGGGTTAATTTGCTGAAAAAACAGATACTTGAAAGGAATATGATGATGGATATCTTTTGAAGCTACTTTTTGGTTGTTTTTGCTTGTCCTTTTGGGAAATTGAGGAATAGTATTGAGTAATTAATCTAACATTATTGTCTCTAGTAGTTCTTTATGAATGAAGTGGTCCAAGGACTTTGTCTGGGTCTTGGATGGTTCAAAAAATTTGTTTCTTGTAGCTGAGTTAGTGAGATAAAGAGGAATCTTGGATGACTTACCATTTAAAAAATCAAACCACTTTTTGGCTATACATGTTAGTGGCTTTTAGATGGCCAGCACTGGGTTGTAAACATCACTTTCTTTCCCTTTGTTCGGCATTTAAAATTATATGTACATCTTTTAGTTCGTTGAGTCCACTTGGGCTCCCAATCTTTGGTCATCATTACTGCATATAATTTTGAGGATTAACATGATGCCATATGATTGAGATTTTTTTTTAATCATTAAGCTAACAATGGAAGCTCTAACATGCACACCTTTTGAAACTCTCTATTATGAGAGTCGAGTTCTCTTGGTATTATGTATCTTGATTCCTTTAGATGTTGAGGCATATATCATTGCTTGAACTCTGAATAAACTGGTAATTGAGAATCTTGAATCCTCAGATGATAGAAAAGCGATTAGTCGAATTTAACATAGTTATTGTACTGGCTGAATCAAATAAAGAGTGCTCAATTGAGAATCTTAAATAGCACTTTTAGTATATTGAGTTCATTACAGTTTTTTACCTGATGTATTTAGGGGTAACTCATGTGCACAACTTTATGTAGCATTCTCAATTATGTGTGATAAAGTTAAAATGTATGTATGACTACGGCAACCTGATAGATATTTGTGGTTGGTTCAAACTTTTGACACCATATTGGTGTGTTACTGATGAAATGATTTGAATTGACAAAAAAGATGATGTGTAATAAAGGTAAACATATGATGATACATCCCCATTAAGTGTATTAAACTGAAATTAAAGGAAATTAGCATGACTAACAATATTTCTTTAAACTCCTAAAGTTTTTGACTTTTCAAGTGACATACTTCAAATGTAAAGAGTTATATATAGTATCCCTAATTGATGAAATTCCTATTAAACCCTTCACTTACTATTTTGATACTCTTAAGATTGAATGAAAACTCAAATTGTGTGGATTGCATAAGGAGAATCTTCTGTAAAGAATATGTTCTCGTCCGGTTAATTTAAGATACTAGCTAATTTGTTCACTTGCTTTTGAGTTTTCCCTTATTGTTACAATAAGAGTGGGCTATTTCTGAAATGTAGAGATGCAGTTCTTTTGTCCTCAATGCAAAGAAAGAAAATTACTGCACAGATGGAATAATATGCATAAATTATCAATTGAAGCAGTCGAATGGAATCATTCAATGGTCTGTTTGCTTTTTGCCCTGATTGGGTTTAGCTTCTTTCACTTGTTTCATAATTTCTATTTTCTTTATTTTGGGGTGGTTGAAGTTGCAGTTATTGGAGGCTAGATTGTTTTTTTTCTTCATTCCAATTTTCTAGAGCACAAATTCTCATTTTTCTGCTTAGCTTGAGTTCAAGCTGATACTGTTTACCCAGCTGTCACGATCTAGCTTCCTCCAATATTTGCTGCCCAATTCTATTTTTAGTTTATATTTTGTTACAGCTTGAGGAAGACCCTGTCAGGAATTTGCACAAGACACTGGTAGATAGAACCTTTTAAACTTCAAAACTCAAATATGCACTGGTTATCATGAGCCAGTTATTTTGGCATTTAAACATGACTACGTTGTGCTCATTCAGTTAGGTTTATGTATTATTGACACTTGTAACAGTAATAAATCCACTTAAGAATAACATAATGCAGTAGTCTTTTTTCCTTGGATATTTGTAAGCAGTTAATAATATAGGTTCTGAATGCGATCCAGTATCTCAAGCAGTTGGATGATCTTAGATCACAGCTTTCTGCTACTCAAGCAACTGCAGATGCAAGTGCTGCATCAGCTCAATCTGCACAGCTTCAGTGTTTGGCACTTTTGAAAGAGTTGGACGAGAAAAATAGTTCACTGAAGGAACATGAAGCTCGTGTAAATAAACTTGGTGAGCAATTAGATCTTTTGCAGAAGGATCTCCAAGCAAGGGAATCATCTCAAATGCAATTGAAAGATGAAGTCCTGAGAATTGAGCATGATATCATGCAAGCATTAGCGAAATCTGGAGCAAACAAAGATTGTGAATTGAGGAAGATTTTAGATGAGGTCTCACCAAAGAATATTGAGAAGATGAACAAGCTGTTGACGAGTAAAGATGAAGAAATTGCCAAACTCAGGGATGAAATCAGGATCATGTCTGCCCACTGGAAGCTAAAAACTAAGGAGTTGGAGTCTCAGGTTTGATACATGTTTTCCAGGCTCTCTAAATTCCACGACACATTTGAGTTATTCTTTCTCATGAATCTCTACCTCTTTTCTGGACAGTTAGAAAAGCATCGTAGAGCTGATCAAGAGTTGAAAAAGAGGATTATGAAGTTGGAATTCTGTCTCCAAGAGGCGCGAACTCAAACTCGCAAGCTCCAAAGGGTAATTCTACTCTTTACTGCTACATTGTTGAAATTATATCTGATATCGGAAACCTTCTTTGTTTTAGTTCAAGAATTCTGAATTTAATTTGTTTAAGTTTCCAACCAATTTATAAGATCTTAACACATTGAAATACTACTGAAAGCAATGTCATACATGTGATATAAATACAGATGGGAGAACGACGTGACAAAGCTATTAAGGAACTCAGAGACCAATTAGCAACTAAGCAATTCGGAACTTCCAGCAATGATAAACAGAACTTCTGGGAATCCTCAGGGTTCAAGATTGTTGTGTCAATGTCAATGTTGGTGTTAGTCCTCTTTTCAAAGCGGTGATAATAATATATGTATTTAACGTTGTATAAAGGAGATGTGTAGCTAGCTTGTAGTCAACTTGGGGAGAGATTAGGGAGAGCTGTAGATTTGTACCTCACGCTCTCACAGCTGAACCCTTCATTTTGATCCTCAATTATTAGATCAACGCAGTACTTTAGATTATACTATAATCATATTCTCAGAGTGCATAATTGCATGCCAAATTTCACGACACTAATTATTTTAGCTAGCCCCAATCAGCAGAGACCCGTCATATTATTTTCTTGTCTCCTATTAATGTCTGTACTTGGTATTTTTCTGGTGAGAAGTCCTAGTCTCTTATGTTAATTTCCAGAATTAGTCAAAAAATTGAATCGAGATGCTTTCTTGTTGACTTTAATTTATTAAATTATACTACTAGTACCTAATAGTAGAAGACAAAACATATTCTACTCTTTAATGAGTTTAGTTTTTATATATCAAGAGTAAAGTTTGTTTTGTAGATCAAATCACTTGAAAGATAATTATAGGTAAATTATCCATAACTAGTGAGATCAGTAAATTCAAAGTTAATATTTATAAGCTGATGTAGAAAACTTCGTACACTATCAATATAATAAATTCAGATTTAAATCCTCTTTAATCTTGCCGTAAGGGAGGTTTACACGGCGTTAATGTAGCACGTAATTTGCGTTAATGCATGCAGTTATTGATTAATCAACTTAAAGTGGCCATCAATACACCACACCGAAAGAGAAATTAGCTATTACTTTATTCTGCTCTCTTTTGATGTTGATAGCTACATTATGCTTTACACTTTTGTCCCTGTTAGGCGAATGAATGAAAATTCCAAATAATGCATAAGCTTTTAGGGCATAATTTCCATGTACCAAATGGACTTAGTCGCGGTAAAATAGTTGAGGTGCACGCAAACTGCAAAGACATCACCGTTATTTAAACAAAAGAGCAGACATATAATTAACTTAGTTTTACTGGGCTACATTTTCCATTTTATTTAATTCGAAACATATATAGACCTGTCTCTGTAACGTATTTACCTGGCAAATTCCCTCTATTCATATATAAAAAGTAGTAATAGTAGTAAACTAATACAATGATTGATCATATGAGATGTAGGACTAGTAACCTACTTCCTAAACAATAATACAATATAACAGTGGAACATCTGACCTATTAAACTTAAATATTGATGGATGTAGATAATGGCTTCTAAAACCAATATATGAATTTTACATCTAAGTAGGTGGTATGCAGGATAATTAACTATACTAAAGCAGTGTATAGGTATGTCATGTCTAAACCTCGAGAATACTCCTAACTGCTTCCATTTCCTCAACAAGAACTGTACATAGCTAGAAACTGAAAATCCAGCTTCTTACTTGGTAACTGAACTTCTTCTTAATTTCCTCAAAACTCCAAGATAAGCTTGCTAGTCACAATGGAGGTGACAAGAAAGATGCAGCCAACTAAGGGTTGCAAGCCATTTGACATGGACAATGAGGTGGTTGCAGTGGGAGGGATACTGTCACTAATGCCCGGCATCGTTCCAAATCCAGAGTCGCCTCCATTCGGTACTGTTGGTGCTACTGAGCTGCAAAATTACACAGGACAAAGTTAATGTAATCATTACTCCCTCTATTCCATGTTATATGACACTTTCCATTTTAGTTTGTTCCAATACGTTTCTATATTTGAAAACTGTTTAACATTTCTATTTTATTCTCAAGGACATGCTCTTATACCCATATAAATGTCATTTAAGATCACAAGTTCTAGGATACTTTTGGTATGTGTCAAGTCTTTTAACCTTTGTTAAACTCCATTCCTAGTCAAAACCACGACATAACATACAACGAAGAGAATATTCATTAGACTGATTGAGCAAATGAAAGACCCCTTACCCTGGAGTTCCAGGCGTTGGTGTTGCAGACGATGATGTAGAAGACCCCGATGCAGGAAAAACACAAGAACCAGTGCCTATATTTCAGCATGTTAATGATCAGAAAAAAATAAGAAGATCCAGATTTATAACAGTAAGGCAGGATATATAGTAAAGAATACTTATTTGCTTACTTGGGTTTGAGTTGGTTATCATGGCAGCACCCCCAAAATCACAGCTTGTTTGCCCTGGATTCTTTTGGAAATAGCTATTGAATGCATATGATGCATGATTTTGCATACTATTGGGATTATAACAACTTCCACCCTGCTGAATGGCTGAGCAATCTGCTCCCTTTCCACAAGCATAATCAAGCGCTGACTGAAGTGAAGTTTCCATCGCTCCACTCTTCGCGACACACCAGCTCTGCCCTGAAGTAGCAGGAGAGCTTGTGGTTGCAGGTGGCGTTACCGGGGTGGTGACAGGAACACCACCTACTGGGGTTGGATTCGCCGTTACAGGATTACTTACAGGTGAATTTGTGCTAGGGGTGGTAACTGGATTAGTTATTGGTACCGATGGATTGGGGTCCGTGTCAGTCGGAGGGGTAGTAGAAGGAACTGCTGGAGGTGTAGACCCAAGATTCGGAATTCCAGCATTAGGATTTGTGGATGGGACAGTGACAACTGTTGGAGCTGAATTATCAGGAGGCATATTAACTGGAGTGGTGACAGGATTTACTACAGGAGTTGTAGGAAATCCGGTTGTTGTTGGATCGATCGAGTCATGTTTGATTGCTTTAATGGGCAACAATTCGAGCAGTCTTTTCGAGAAAAAATGGAATTTTTGTTCCTTTTCCCTTTCAAGTTCTTTATGCTCAAAGCTTTTAGCTGGCGATAATCCTGCAAAGAACATTTACAAGATATTTAACTTGAGTTCAACTTATGTTTTGTAGCTCTTATAACATCAAATCTCAACCAATGCAGCTCATAGTCTAACTGGCCATGGTAAATTTAACATTCTTTATTTTACTATAAACATCTTTTTCCTGGTGAAAATTGGTGATAAATCAAAGAGAATAACACTGACTTTCTCTAATAAGATAACTGTCTTGTCACTTTCAATGTTGGTCAAATTCTTGTCTAGGCTTTGTTCCAATATACCTGATTTCACTACCCCCCACACACACACACCACAATAAATTGGAAAAGAAGATGAAAAAAACAAAAATATTGCAAATAGGCCCTAAATAAGCATGTAAGGCAGCTTGAACCATCAACCCCTCAGAGCAAACTTGTCTAACTACAGAAATCCAATATATCAACAAGTGGTGAAACTTACATCAATTGTTATAACATCAACCCACAATAGTACTCTTGCTCACAGAAAAAGGAAAAAGAAAACTGACCAATAGTCTTAACATATAGCAAGGAATACAAAAAATGGTGAATATTCATTGCAGAATCTTAAAATAGACAGAAAACACAGTAGTCATAGAATAGAAGAATCATCAGCAAAAACAAGAAACTTGGAATATTCAAATCAAGAAAGTACACTAACCAGAAATGCAGGCAAGAAGTATAGACAAGAAGAATAAGAAGATGAATAAGGAAGTTCCTCTAGTCATTATAATGGTGGACATTTTCTTGAATGTATGTGACTTGAGCAAGAGATCCCAATGGAACTATAATAGGAATTATATAATGTTGGTCTTTAGAAAAACATGACAAAAGTTGTACTATATATATTTAGCAAAGGTGAGAAAGGGAAAAAAAGGTATGAGTAGATGATAAACAATGGTGGGGTAGAGAAGGAGAGAAAGTAAAAGAGAAACGAATATGTAACTTTCTAGACGTATAATATATATAGGAAAAAAAGTGATTACTTTGTGATGAAGAAAATATTGAAATTTGTTTTTGCTTCTCTGTTGTGGAAAAGCATAAATTATTTTTGTTATTTCATTGATTCTTTTAGCAGAAATTTCTGAAAGATTGAGTTCATACTACTAAAATGTAACACTTGGCAAATTGCAGACAATAGTACATGCATGTAGAAAGCAAAGAGTGGAAACCTTATCTTTGAAAGGGGCAAAGGATCATGCTGCAGTGATCAATAAAGTGAATAAAAATCATGGAAAATTAGGATTTTAAATTTTAATAGAGATAAATTCACTAGATAATTTCATTTTAAGCTTTTATAAGTAGAGCTATACGATATACGCATTGATATATACGAGATAAAATAGTTGAGTATGCATAAATTGATTTTAATACGAACAATAAATTTAAATAGTTGCTTACCCAATCACTTAGCTTAAAAATAGCCGACAAATATATAATATACGTATCGTATAATCATATATAATCAATATATAATTTTATGTATATCGGCGGGATAAAGTAAACGGTAAATCCAACCGGAGGGAACATATATAGTGGTCGGTGGAGCCATGTTTTAGCGTATTGAGAAAAGGATGGGAGTGGCAACATGAGACCAGGAGATACCATAATATTCTATTTTGATGTAAATCACACTCTTTCCTCCCCAGATTCACTACACCATTTATTTTGTACACGAATATTAAGGTAAAAGTCTGAATATCATATACCTTAAAAAAGACCAGATCCAACTATAATAGTAGTAGTATATAATTTTTTGACCAAACGGTATCAATCACACCTTTGTCTTGGTCATTGGAAAAAAACAAGAACCAAGGTAGGATTAATTCTACTCAAACTCTACAAAAAGAGGTATGTACCAACAGTTGTTGAGCCGATGGTCTATCGGAACCGCATCTCTGCCCCATCGAGTAGGGGTAAGGTCCGCGTATATACTACCCTTTCGAGACCCTACTTGTGAGATTTTTCTGGGTCGTCGTTATTGTCCAGATTCATGTTGATGACCTCAAAATCCACCATTCTGCTTCGTAAAAGGAAAAGTTGAATTGCAGGTACATTCAAGAAAAGGTGATTATGGTGGGTATTGACATGTCAAATTTTTTCGTTTAAATGGTCAAAGATAAATCAGATTTAGGTGTTTGGTACATCACAGTAATTGGAGCTGCTGACACTTTCTGTTTGCCTTTTTATCTGTTACTCCTTTTCTTAGCAAAAGGAAAAGACAATGATTTGGAATTTCAATTTCTCGTTTTGGAGTTAAACATGCATACTTTGTCGAACAATCATCCACAGAGAGGCATGGATCAACATTAATAGCAGCATTATGTTGTATTTTTACCATATTTGGTATAGGAAGCTTATTGGCCCGATTAATTCAAATTTACACGGAATATGTTCACTAAGCAGCGTAAAACACTCCATACCAAAATAATTTATATTCTTAGGCTCGAACCTGAAATCTTCGATAATAATTGAAGAAATTTCAACCATTCTACTATACCCTTTGGGCGCCATCATCGTCTTATATAAACACTTGTCGGCATATCAAAGTATTCAGAGTAATCACGATTCAAGTCATACTATTCTAAGTTTGCATAAGATTACTTCCTGATAGTTGTAAATTCAGTTGGATCCTTGTCTTTTCTACTACTAATTCAATAGGAAAAAAGTGAATTTGAAATTTAGCTAAGATCAATAACATCATGAAGTAGGTTTAAGAGAATCAAACAAATATAAGGTCACGAGTATTCTCATTTTTTAATATTATTTAAACAATAGTTAATAAAACCAACATCTTGTTGCACGCAAGGTGTAGCCTAGTGGTCAATGAAATGGGTGGAGAACCATGATGTTAGGCTCAAACCCTAGTAGAGATAAAATAACACTAGATTAATTTTTTCATACTTGCTACTTAGATATAATCACAATGCTAAGTGATGTTGAATTCTAGCAATGGAACCAACGCTTTTCATTTAATACTGAAAAAGCTAAATTTATATTTAAAGAAAAGGGAAGGAAATAAAGAAAACAAACAATATGATAATCAAGAAATAGTGCATTAGCTTTATGACGGCTGGCGTATAAATTATTGTCCAGAAGAAATACATGTGCTAAGTCTGCTTTAATAAAAAGGTTCTTTATGATCATGCAACCAGCTTTTAGGAAGGTTTTGTGGATTCGGTTTCTCTTTTTGCTCTAGTTGTCTGGAACTTATAATATGGATTTTGCATCTCCATTTAGAATTTAAGTTTTTATGTAGTGATAGTAAAAAAAATATTTAAAAAGTTAATTTGAAAGACAATTGCAATATTTATGGATTTATATTTTATGCACTAACAACTCTTCGTATCAAATATGATGACGTAACTTAATATAGATAACTTGGCGAATTAGTTAAACTTAAACTTTGAGTTTATAATTTGAAATAAATGATATGTCAAATATGTCAAATCATACAGTGTAAACGAAAACTTAAATCCTTCGAATTTAATATGCCAAATCAAAAGTATCCATTTCCATGTGAGCTAATTCGTAATCCCTTAAATCTGAGTCATCCGACAGCTGAAAAGATTTGATCAGCCTATCTAAATTGAATAAACAACTAACAATTACAAAGAAGTCCGCTAGTTCTTTTCACGAAAAAGCAAAGAGATAAAAAGCAACAACCAATACAACATACTACTAGCTTTTTCTTTGTAATGCTTTCAAATTTGATATTTAACTAATAGGTCGGCAGAAGTGTTATAGTTACCCTACATAAGTATTTTAGTCAACTAATTAAAAGGTCGAGATAAGTGATATAGTGTTATAGATAAGGTAAAGTCAAGATAAGCGTCGCTCTAATTGTATATTTTACAAAATTGTTTGTGTTTTGTGAAGTTAAACGTTTAAACTTTGTGACTAGTGATGACGAAAGTAAAAGAGATCCAATACAATTTGCCGTAAAGCCGGGAATTGCAATAGATTTCTTGTCAAGTTTTAGCTTCAAGCATACAGGACAAAATATACTTACTAATAAAATAATTGTAAGGAACCACTATAGTTTCAACTTTCACGAAAGAAAATTTTGGCGAGAAAAGATGAAAAGCATCGTCTGCATGAGCTGCATGCCCACAACTTCTGGGACAAAGCACGAGTGCTTATGGTTTAGTGGATATAAAGGTTACTGAGTTGATCCTTTGAAATTGTTGAGGTTTGGCTGGTCACTACATACGGTAATGGCGACAATTTCCTCTTCTTTTTCTTTATATAAAAATTGTGTCAGACAGAACTTGCCTGCACTTCGGCTATTCCACCAAAATACATATTACCTCTCGCTGCACATATACAAAGTTACCCTTCCCACCGTGGCTTAGATAAATGGGAAGAAGTTACAGTAATTCAAGTAAAAAAATTTCGGCAACCACACGAATTCAACGTCCTATGAAGGATGCTTATCATATTCCAACTACTGGAGATCCACTAAGGGGTCTTAACATTGTTTACAATAAAAAATATGATACAGAAGAAAAATGAAGACAAAAGAAGAAAAGGAAACCAAGTTGGTTTCTTGATACAAACCTCTCATAGGCACAAAAGCAAATAATACCGTTTTCTTGGGGGTTCTTTTGGCCAGTCAATGCTGGAGGTTAACGAACATGTCAGAAAAGAAAACATCTGATGTTGCTTCTCTTGCTGAACCATAGCCATTTAGGCGTTTTTTTAGAGAACGTAGATCCCTCTCATCTTTGGAGGTTCTTTCCTGCAACATTTTCATGAAGTTAGGCCACTTAACTTTGAACCGAAAAGAATATACTATGAGCTTGATTTAAATCCCAAATTATTAAGTACCAGACTATCACGCCACTTAACTTTGAACCGAAAAGAATATACTATGAGCTTGATTTAAATCCCAAATTATTAAGTACCATACTACCAGGCAAAGGATAGCAATTGGAGGAAATTGACCAATCAGTCTGATTTTGTTTTTCATTTTTCTTTGAAGAGGATGGAATTACATGGTCAAAATAAAATATTAGAATATCAAAGTGCATGCAGCTGAAATTACAGTAACGGGATGCACATTCCAACCAAATACAACATATGTTAGAAACAGAAAGCCAATTGCATAAAATGAGGACATACTACCATGCGTAATACTAAACAGTTTTGATAAGGTGATATTAACTGATAATAACATGGAACCAATGTTGTCGTAGAATACTCACATATGATTTCTTTAGCAACAGTATGTCAACCAAGTATTGTAGCCACAGCACATTTGTCTTGGGGAAACTGTACACGCAGATAAAAAAAGAAAAGAAGGCAAAAGGTCAAATCCCATAATCCAGTCACTAAAGCCTTGGTGATTTGCATAACGAAGATACTTCTTAGGTGCTAAGACTGAGGTCTGAAATTCAACCACACCATAATAGAATGCTACTTCATTTATCAACAAGTGATGGTTCATGAGTTCTATAAGAAGAACAAGAAGAAATAGACCAGTCCACAGTGTTATGACAAAAAACAAGCATGATTCGTCTTTGGCAGTCTAAAGCATACAAGTATGCTCTAGTACTAGAAACCCATTAACCTAGCATAGAACTTTTATTATGGGTTAGTTCCTCTGAATCTCCAATAGAAAATGAAATCCATGAATATAAGACAAACACCATCAAACAGGAAAGCCTCCCGCTGATGGTTTCCATGATTTAGAAAATTGGCCACCAATACTGTGTGCCAGAGGTCATTAAGCAGCAAAAGCTAACTGATCACAAGAGATAAAAGAACTTGCACGGATGTAATTTTGGTTCGATCCAAATTCTCTGACAGCAGCTTACACAAAATAGGATGTTATTTCAGTGATGAATTCCAGACATCTAACATGCCAACAGTTTTAAACTGGAGAATTATGAATAATTTTGTGGCAACATAACCTTGAAATGGAAGAGAAATACACTATTGTTAGAAGCCAAATGCAATTTGCTGCCTCCTGAAACAATTTGTTACTTGAAAGTGAAAGGAGTATTTATACCTTCCTTCCCAAAATTCGCCTGTGACATCTCTCATTTTCCTGTATGTATCAGACTGCAAACATGCCACAAAACAATGAAATATAAATAAGTATTAAAACACCTGAAGATATATGGGACTTCTTTGGTGTCATACCTGTTTATCTCCTTTTGGACCTTCAAAGAGTTCAGGGTCTGATGACAGGTCCAGAAAAAGTATGTCTTCACCTGTGATCAGTACGTATATGGATAAGAATCTCTAATCAATTCAAGTACAAGATTGTTAAGGGAGAAACAGAAAGGGTGAACACCTGTATTTATCCTTGAAAGAGTGAAGTCAATTATCGAAACCAATAATCCATATGTTTTGACATGTATTTCATTTCCCTCAAGAGTGAATTGCACCGTATCTGAACCTTTCCGACGTAATAGAATATTTCCCCTGTGATAAGAAAATTATTAGCGCACAGAAAAGTTCAACAAAGCATTGTCCTACTCTAGATTGTAAAATATGACACAAATCATCACATGGAAAACGAACCAGTGCAAATCGCGATGTTCAAATTCATATGCAGCTTCAGATACAGCCAAAGCAAGAGTTATCTGGAGTGCAGATTTTGCAGTCAAGCAATTGATAATGAATGAGATATTTGGTTAACAATGCCAAAAGAAAATATTCAATCACTTGCCTGGGCCAATAAACTCTTCGCTTCGTTAAAGTTCAAGAGCACAAAACTCTCAAGATCCTTACCTCCATGTTCTTGAACAAAGACAACATAGCACTGGAAGGCATGCAATAGCTAAGTCAGTGGCACTTAAAATTGTCAAGTAATTATACTCTAACTGCAAGAAAAATACCAATCTGCCTAGACACAAGATCCACTCAAAGAATAGATGAACAATGGGAGGCAACTATTAGCAATTAGGAGAAAAGGAGTAAATTGTGCTTTGCAAGGAACCTGTTTTTCTGGAAATTCCTTAGGATGATCATTTTCTGAACCATGCTTCCCATCCCAGTCTTCCCACGCTTTTAACAGAGATGCATCATAATGGCCCTGGCACACCCTCATGCTGTAGAAAGGTGAAACCAATTGTACATGAGTGGTCAACAATTGCTCTTCTCCTACTTTAAGAAATAGTATACAATTGAGAGTGCAGAAAACAGCACGCAGGAGGAACTTCAAAGTCATTAGAGGTGACAGTTATATATGGATGCTTATTTCAAGACCTATTACTGATAAGGTTTTTAAAAGAACTATTCCTCATTAGGTAGCAAAAGTTAGTAGTTTCATGACATATTCTGAGGTTAAGCATAAGATAACCCAACACAGGCAAATTAAATCAGACAGGATAGATGTTCCTAAACGCAGATTTTGTCTTGAAAGTTGAAACAGAGGTTCAGAACAAGGACCAAAAAGTTGAAAAGTTGCTTTAAGATTAACTAAGAATATACAAAAACTTACTCCATTGTCTGTATAAAGGTGGAACAGGAATTCAGGAGATGACCCTCATGAGCTCTTAAGCTATTAAGGGTACCAGAGAGTATGACCTCCTCAAGTAGTTCTTCTGATTTCTGAAATGTATCAAAACACAGATTTCGAATCAGAGTGACTTGAATATTTTCAGAAAATTGGTTGCTGACCCTTTGATCATATGCATGTTACTTAGTCCGTATCTCAATTTAATGAAATTGGAACCTATTCAATTGCACAAGAAATATAATTGAACTGGATACCTTTTGGATTTCTCCATTTACTCGTAAATCTCCATCAAATGGGACAATTTTGAAGACATTTTCGCCAACCTTAAAGGCCTCACCAAATGTGCCTTCGCCCACCTTGGCAATTGTTTGTGGCTCACTGCATTTGACATAGTTCAGTTTACGAAACTAGATGCTTTGAGAAACTAAAATTAAGAGCAAAATCAGACTGAATTAAGTCTATTGCCAACACAAATATGAATTTGATTCTTCATGAAAAGGAATGGGTACTGATTGATAAGGTCAAATTATACAAAGTATTAACTAGATAGCCATTCAGATATAGTTCAAAGCTAAGATCACATGCACCAAAAGAGAGCACTAGTACATGAGTTTATAACAGTACTAAGCTAAAGGTGTTTCAGTCAAAGGGAATCCATATCTGTATTTATCCTCATCCATTCTTACATGGTTCAAAACCACTATTAGGAGCATTCTCACCAAACGTATAAAAGATAATGAGATAGAGATTAAGAAGCCTCAGCCAGATCTACGTCTAAGAGTATCAAGGTGGACAACATCTTTCGTGCATCTATACATTATATGTTTAATGATCCTAGTTAAGGTTTTTCAAAAGGCAAAGTTGACAGTATCTAGAGATAATTGTATCAGCTGAAAGAAAATATACGTTTTACGTTATATGTTAATGATCCTAGTTAAGGTTTTTCAAAAGGCAAAGTTGACAGTTTCTAGTGATAATTGTATCAGCTGAAGCAAAATATCATGTTAAACTCGCTGCTCCACAAGTACCAAAGACAGTAAAAATCTGACTAAGAAGAAAGATATGCCTAGGGAGATATTTGTTGGACTTTAAGCCATTGGGCTTTAAAGTAGAAGAAGTGTGAATTGGAAATGGAGGGAAATTAAAAATTTGAAGAAGTGAACTTTTGTCTTGCACTTTGTCCCTCATTGGTGAGGGACAACCACATTTGTGTGCTTATATATAGAATCACTTCTTAAAGCTCTTAAAAGGAGTTGAAGAGAATGAACCCTCGCGCCGTCGTCGTCGGCTCGGCTTCGGCTTTGGATTTGTCAAATGATTGATTGATAAGATTATTTTTGGACAAAATTTATTTGATTATTTAATAATTAATTAAATGCCAAATCACTGCTGAAAATACGCCAGAACCCTGCTGAAGGTTCAGAGGGCCTCTCTGGCCGCAGTTCTGCCGCGACCGCGGTAGAACCGCGGCAGGCTGATTCAGAGAGCCTCTCTGACCGCGGTTCTGCCGCGACCGCGGTAGAACCGCGGCAGGCAGCGTATTCTTCTGAAAAGGCACCTTTTCTAGACACCTCTTCTGATAATTGCCTATAAATTCTGAGGCAAGACTCCATTTTCTAGACACGAAAAACACTCCAGAATCGCAGTCTCTCTCTCTCAAATTCGTAAGTGTGATTTTGCTCCGTTCTTTAAGTTCGTTGGTATCCTGCAGTTTGTATTGCCACTGTTGCAGGAAGGTTTATTCCGTTTTATCCTGTGAGGATTTAATCCATTACCTTGGCAACGTGTGAGGGGGTTAAAATTCCTTAAGGACACACAAGCAAATTATGGACTCGGAATATTTCTTAAACTCTTCTGTTTTTCCAGTTTCTTTTATTTTTCTAACAGTTTTTTCTGATTTTGTGTTTTAACACAGTAGCGCTCACAAGCTTAAGGAATTTCATACTAACGTTTCTGTGTTGAAACATATATTAAACTGTTATTCATATTTTGTATACTGTTTTGGAGACTAAAGCCTTGTTGCTTTCTACTCCAATAATTCTTCCTGTCCGGTTTAAAGTACATAAAAACTTTGCCGGAATAATAAACGTACGGGTTTGAAGTATATAAAAACTTCACCATTGTTACGTGTTGTATGTTTGGTTTGATATTCAGTTTGAAGATATCAAAACTTCACTGATTTAACAAAGTTCTGTATTGTTTTCAACTTTACAGAAATATGACGAATGAAAACCAAACTAATGGAGTGTTGCGGGAACGGGTGCTACTGTTACGAGTGTTGCTGCCTCGTCAAGCCGTTCTACTCCTGCTCATGCTATGGCACCGGCAGAAAAACCCGGAAAGTTTTCCGGTATTGACTTCAAACGCTGGCAAATGAAGATGCTCTTCTATCTTACTACGTTGAGTTTGCAACGTTTCATCAAGGAGGATCCTCCAGTCATGGCTGAAAATACTCCGGATGATGAACGACTTGTTGTAACTGAAGCATGGAAACATTCTGATTTCCTGTGCAAAAATTACATTTTGAGTTGTTTGGAAGATGGCTTGTACAATGTCTATAGTGTCATGGAAACTTCAAAAGCGTTATGGAATACGCTTGAGAAGAAGTACAAGACTGAGGATGCCGGACTTAAGAAATTCGTGGCTGCAAGGTTCTTGGATTTCAAGATGATTGACACTAGGTCGGTCATAACTCAAGTCCAAGAACTACAAGTCATTGTACATGACCTCCTTGCTGAAGGTATGACCCAAATCAATAATTTTATTAATAAGATTTATCTTATTATTAATAATGAATTTGTTATTGAAGGTATGGTCATAAATGAGGCCTTTCAAGTCGCTGCTTTCATTGAGAATTTACCTCCGCTGTGGAAGGATTTTAAGAACTATCTTAAACACAAACGGAAGGAAATGACACTAGAAGACTTGATTGTTCGTTTGAGGATAGAAGAGGACAACAAAAATGCTGAAAAGAAGTCACGTGGACACTCGACAATAATAGGGGCAAACATTGTTGAGGAGGCACCACAAAATAAGAAGAGGAAGAAAGCTTCTGGACCAAAGAATTATCCAAGTAAGAAGAAGTTCAAGGGTAATTGCCACAACTGTGGAAAAACTGGGCATAAGGCAGTGGATTGTCGTGCGCCAAAGAATAATAAGAAGAAAAAGAATCAAGCCAACATGGTTGAAGATGAAATGGAAGACTTGTGTGCCATGTTGTCTGAATGCAACTTGGTAGGAAATCCGAAAGAATGGTGGATAGATTCTGGAGCCACCCGCCATGTTTGTGCTAACAAGGAGTTATTTTCTTCTTATGCCCCCGCAGGTCCCGACGAGACAATCTTCATGGGAAATTCATCTACGGCCAAAATTGAAGGAGTTGGCAAGATTGCGTTGAAGATGACGTCGGGAAAAATAGTGACTCTAAACCAAGTCCTCCATGTTCCAGAAATTCCCAAGAATCTTGTGTCGACTTCACTTCTTGTCAAGAATGGATTCAAATGTATTTTTGTTTCCAATAGTGTTGTACTAAGTAAGAATGATATGTATGTAGGAAAAGGTTACCTGAATGAGGGCCTTTTTAAGCTAAATGTAATAGCAGTTCCTATCAATAAAGTGAATGCTTCTTCTTGCTTGCTTGAGTCAAACACTTTATGGCATTCGCGTTTAGGTCACGTAAACTTCAAAACATTGCGAAAGATGATAAATCTAGAAGTATTGCCAAAATTTGATTGCATTAATTCCAAATGTCAAATATGTGTGGAATCAAAGTATGCTAAGCATCCTTATAAGTCCGTTGAAAGGAATTCAAGTCCTTTAGACTTAATTCACACAGATATTTGCGACATGAAGTCAACACCATCTCGCGCTGGGAAAAAGTATTTTATTACTTTTATTGACGATAGCACGAGATACTGCTATGTTTATTTACTTAATAGTAAAGATGAGGCAATTGATGCTTTCAAGCAATACAAGAGTGAAGTTGAAACGCAACTAAACAAAAAGATCAAAATGATAAGAAGTGATAGGGGTGGCGAATATGAATCTCCTTTTGAAGAAATATGTTTGGAAAATGGCATTATTCACCAAACAACTGCCCTTTACACTCCACAATCTAATGGAATTGCGGAGAGGAAGAATCGAACGTTGAAGGAGATGATGAATGCATTGCTAATAAGTTCTGGCTTACCATAGAACTTGTGGGGGGAAGCTATACTTACAGCTAGCCGAATAATCAACCGTGTACCTCATAGTAAAACACAATCCATTCCTTATGAGAAGTGGAAAGGAAGGAAGCCTAGCTTGAAATACTTCAAAGTGTGGGGGTGTTTAGCTAAGGTAAAAGTTCCTAAACCTAAAAGGGTTAAGATAGGTCCAAAAACGGTTGATTGTGTGTTTATTGGATACGTAACCAATAGCAAGGCATATCGTTTTCTGGTTCATAAATCAGAAAATCCTGAGATTCACATTAATATGATAATAGAATCAGATAATGCTGAATTCTTTGAAACTATTTTTCCATATAAAAAGGAAAGTGAAGTGACCTGCCAAAAGTCAAAACGACCTCGGGAGGAAATAATAGATGATATGCCTAATGAAGACAATCAGAGAAGAAGTAAACTTCAAAGGACATCTACTTCATTCGGTCCAGATTTTCTGAATTTTCTGTTAGAAAATGAGCCTCGTGCCTTCGAGGAAGCAATGTCTTCCTCAGAGGCACAATATTGGAAAGAAGCTGTCAATAGTGAAATAGAATCCATATTAAGCAACCATACTTGGGAATTGGTTGATCTTCCTCCAGGTAACAAAACGTTGGGTTCTAAATGGATTTTCAAGAAGAAAATGAAAGACGATGGTACTATTGACAAATACAAGGCAAGACTTGTTGTCAAAGGATTTAGACAACGAGAAGGTCTTGACTATTTTGACACATACTCGCCGGTAACAAGAATTACATCCATTCGGATGCTAATAGCGTTAGCCGCCTTGTATGGTCTTCAAATCCATCAAATGGATGTAAAAACAGCCTTCTTAAATGGTGATTTAGAGGAAGAAATTTACATGGACCAACCTGAAGGGTTTGTGGTTCCGGGAAAAGAAAAGAAGGTGTGTCGACTTGTTAAGTCTCTTTATGGACTAAAACAAGCACCCAAGCAATGGCATGCGAAATTTGACCAAACAATGTTGTCAAATGGCTTTAAGATTAATGAATGTGATAAATGTGTTTACATTAAGAACGTTCCAAATCATATAGTCATTGTTTGCTTATATGTTGATGATATGCTAATAATGAGCAAAGACATTGCCGACATTCAAGCTACTAAGCGTATGCTTGCTAGTAAGTTTGATATGAAAGACTTAGGAGTTGCCGATGTAATTCTAGGAATTAAAATCCAGAGGACTCCTCAGGGTCTAGCTTTGTCTCAATCACATTACGTGAAAATGGTACTTGAAAAATTCAAACACTTGGAATTTAGAAGTGCAAGAACTCCAATTGACTTAAATCATCATCTTATAAAGAATAAAGGTGAAAGTACGTCTCAATTGGAGTATGCTCGTGTGTTGGGAAGCTTAATGTACATCATGAACTGTACACGACCTGATATAGCTTGTGCGATAAGTAAACTTAGTCGATTCACAAGTAATCCCAACAAACATCACTGGGTAGCAATGAAACGAGTTCTGGGATATTTGGAATATACCCAAGACTACGCTTTGCACTACAATAAATATCCTGCGGTTATCGAAGGATATAGTGATGCAAATTGGATAACCGGCTCAACAGAAACAAAGTCCACAAGTGGATATGTTTTTACTGTTGGTGGAGGAGCAGTATCTTGGAAGTCTTCCAAACAAACGTGTATCGCTCGCTCTACAATGGAATCAGAGTTTATAGCGTTGGATAAAGCCGGTGAAGAAGCTGAATGGCTTCAGAAATTTTTTAGAAGACATTCCGTTCTGGCCAAAACCTTTGGCTCCTATTTGCATACATTGCGATAGTGAGGCTGCAATAGGACGGGCAGGGAGCGTTATGTATAACGGAAAGTCTCGTCATATACGACGAAGACATAACACCGTTAGACAACTACTTTCTAGTGGAATTATCACTATTGATTATGTAAGATCAAAGGATAATGTGGCGGATCCGCTTACAAAAGGCTTAACTAGAGAGGGAGTTGAGAAATCATCTAAGGGAATGGGACTATGGCAGAGGACAAGTCAACATGGCGGTAACTCTACCTAGAATTTTGGATGTTCCGAGATCTAGGTTCAAGGAGCTCAAACAAAGTTGTGATTGACCGGTTCAACATTGTCAAAATAAAATCTTTGGTCCATTCTCGTGATGAAGACAATGTTCAACAAGGATAGAACTTTACACGTTCTTTAATGATTACCTAAGTTTGATGAGGTATTTATCAAATAGTGTCAATCTAAAGGATTACACGTTTAGGAATCACCTATGTAAGTGTGAAGTGGAAGCCGCTTCAATGAGAATTTTGTAAGGCCAATTCTCTACGCACTTATGAAACCAGGCGGTGTTCATGGCTAAAACGAACACAACAATGAGAACCAAAAGACGGTTAAGGGTTGGTTGTGTGATATATGGTTGTCTAGGTATACACTAAAGTTCGACGGTTCAAAGATATCAAATCTACCGATTGACCGAGTATATCCGACATATGTTCACTACGGAAAGTTCAAAGGGAAACCTACTTATCCAGATGCAATTAATCCTTACTTGCAAAATCACATAGCTTTCATCTATGATCTTTCTTGATACAGCCATTCCCATTCATGTGGGGGATTGTTGGACTTTAAGCCATTGGGCTTTAAAGTAGAAGAAGTGTGAATTGGAAATGGAGGGAAATAAAATGGAGGGAAATTGAAAATTTGAAGAAGTGAACTTTTGTCTTGCACTTTGTCCCTCATTGGTGAGGGACAACCACATTTGTGTGCCTATATATAGAATCACTTCTTAAAGCTCTTAAAAGGAGTTGAAGAGAATGAACCCTCGCGTCGTCGTCGTCGTCGTCGACTCGGCTTCGGCTTTGGCTTTGGATTTGGATTTGTCAAATGATCGATCGATAAGATTATTTTTGGACAAAATTTATTAAATTATTTAATAATTAAGTAAATGCCAAATCACTGCTGAAAATACGCCAGAACCCTGCTGAAGGTTCAGAGGGCCTCTCTGGCCGCGGTTCTGCCGCGACCGCGGTAGAACCGCGGCAGGTAGATTCAGAGAGCTTCTCTGACCACGGTAGAACCGCGGCAGGCAGCGTATTCTTCTGAAAAGGCACCTTTTCCAGACACCTCTTCTGATAATTGCCTATAAATTCTGAGGCAAGACTCCATTTTCTAGACACGAAAAACACTCCAGAACTTCTTTCTTTTTGAATATACTGCATCCTAATTCGCAGTCTCTCTCTCAAATTCGTAAGTGTGATTTTGCTCCGTTCTTCAAGTTCGTTGGTATCCTGCAGTTTGTATTGCCACTGTTAGGGGTGTTAATAAAAATTCGAAAAACCGAAAACCAAACCAAACCGACCAAAAAAACCGATACTTAGTTTGGTTTGGTTTGGTTTTGGTTTTGAATTTTAAAAATCGATCAAATTTGGTTTGGTTTTGCTTTTAATAAAAAAAATAACCGAAAAAAATCGAACCAAACCGACTATAGGAGTAGCTATTTCAAATTTATTATTACACCTATATATATATGTATATTTTTATACAAAGTTTCAAAAATTTTATGGTGAATGTTAATCGTTTGCACTTTTAGTACAGTTTTTTACCTTTATATTCTAGTTTGATTGGTAGTTTTCTTTTGTTAAGTGTAAGAATCCATTTCATGTTCAAAAAAATATTTTTTTAATTGAGTACTTAAATTATTCATCACTATTTGATTCAATTATCATCAATATATTTTAGTAGATAATAGATTTCTCAAAGGGCAATTAATTTGATAGTGCTACGTTAAAAATGTGGTCCCCGGAATATGTGTTTGGTAGTGTATGTCTTATATTTAAGAAAAAACCGACAAATAACCGGAAAAATTGAAAAATCGACAAAACCCGACAAAAACTGAATCGAGAAAAAACCGACTTAATTGGTTTGGTTTGGTTCTAATATTTGAAAAACCAGTCACACACGTTGCCAAGGTAATGGATTAAATCCTCCCAGGATAAAACGGAAAAACCGACTTACTTGGTTTGGTTTCTTTTTAAGGAAAAACCGATCCAAACCGAACCATGAACACCCCTAGCCACTGTTGCAGGAAGGTTTATTCCGTTTTATCCTGGGAGGATTTAATCCATTACCTTGGCAACGTGTGAGGGGGTTAAAATTCCTTAAGGACACACAAGCAAATTGTGGACTCGGAATATTTCTTAAACTCTTCTGTTTTTTCAGTTTCTTTTATTTTTCTAACAGTTTTTTCTGATTTTGTGTTTTAACACAGTAGCGCTCACAATATTTGATTTGAGGAAGTAGAACAAAAGTGGAAGGGTCATAGGAGCCGCACCAATACTTTGATAGTATCTCCAGTAGTGTTAAAGGAGCAGACTGTCCACATGCTGCCAATAGAGCCAAAAATGGATCCCAAGTGTGAGCATCCACTGAAGAAGGCCTGGAAGTCAGAGAAAGTTTACTAACACCAACTTCAATATCTTCATAACCTTCCTCATCCATGGGACATATTTCTCCATTGCCTGTTTCTGATAAAGGCCGCCCTCCGGACACATCTTCATTTCTAGAACCAGTGTGTTTGTTCTGGGTGGAGTACAAGCCAGAGGGAACTCGTAATGATTTTTTTTCAGGGGTTTTCACATTTGAGGATCCATAAATAACTCCACAAGCAGAATCTTTGCGTGAGGCTGGGGTTTCTAATATCTTCGATAATGAAGCTGGGGGTGCATAGGTATGGTTAAGTTTCTTTGAAATCAACCATTTCTGTAGAACTGAGGACAGACGTGATATAATGATATCGTCAGTTTGGACGCCTGTAGTCCATGTACTGTATTTGTTTGGGGAGGGGCTTTCTACCATTAGTTCAAAATCATCAACTTCTTGAAAATATGCTCGCTCCTCATCATAGTTTGCAGCTTCAACTTTTTTACCCTACAAAGTTATGAAGAATTAGAAATAGAAGACATGTGATTTTGTATGATAAACAAAATATTAGCTAACTGACGCCTATTGAAAAGAAACAACAACTACAAGGTGGCTTTGCGTGAGCTGGGAAATTTTTTCAACAAATTACCCTTGGAAGAGGTGGTTTTGCTTTTCGTCCAGGCTTCCTTTTTTGAGGATGTAATTCGGCACATACAGTAGCAGCAACACTAGTTCTCCCTCTGTCAACAAAATAAAGCGAAAAAAAGAGAAACCCCTCAATACGAAAGACAAAAGTGGAAGAAACGAATAGCTAACTGGAATTCACGAATATGACAAAGAAAGAGAAGGTATGTACTAGGAATTACCATGTTACATAACAAGGTGAGGAGGGGTTATGGATTCAATTACAAAGTGAAGTCAAAGCCCCGGTAAATTCATCAACTTGGGGTATCCCAGAAAAAGTTCTTAACAAGGAGACTAAACATAAACAAAAATCAGAGAACTGCTTACATCTTCAAGTCTTAAACCCATTTTGTTGACTGAATGGGAAACGGATAGATGAGACAAATTTTCTTTGCAAGTAACAGAATCATCTAGGTCGGGTAAGTTTGTAACAGAATCAATTTGTATTGCTAAGTACAAAACAATGAAGATATACTGCCCAGACGCTGGAGGTAAGGGCTCTCCTAAAATGATACATGGAATTTAGACAGCGTTTAAGCTCTTACAGGTAACATTCTTCAAAATTACTGATTGTTTGTCGTCATATTACTCATATACTACACATCTTAGTATAGACTAAACTGTTGCTTGTTTCAGCAAATCTGAGTATTTGCTTCCTAAATAACCTTATCCCAGATCATTTCCATTTCTACTAAGCTAAAACTACTTATCAAAGAAAAATGTGAATAAGCTAAAACCACTACAAGCACAATCCTTTTAGTATCTCCAATGAGATTGATTTTGATATCAATGGGAAATTTAGGGGGGAAATACCAAATTAGGGCAAAAGGCAAAACCTAGTAGAAAGAGAACGATTCCAACTGATTCGTTTAACAGGGAGAAAACTCAGCCGATTCTCGTAACTAGAAGTTGAATTTGATTTCCTCCTGAAAAAAAAATCAAATTTATAAAAGTTAAAACCTTCAGCGACCACCAAAACGAAAAAATAAATAAATAACATGGCAATTCGAAAACTGAAAAAGAAAAAATATATAAAGAGAAACCTGTCAGCATCTTGGGGAATAATATGGGATTTTTGGCGTCGATATACAACAGCAAAATTTGGTTCCTGAGGTTGATCGGAGGGACAAACAAATTGATGTTTTTCAGCAGCTATGAGTTCTTCCCACAAATCAGCTGCGTCTCAAATTCCACCGTGTTAGTACTACGACCTTAAGTATCTGAATCGAGATGGAAAATTAATTGGAGTAGTGAAGAGTTTTTACCCGCTCGAGAAGTCATGGTGGTGCCGAATTTTGAAGCTTCGAATTGTACCGTTGCAAATCAAATGTCTTGTCAACTGCAACTTAAAGTCTCTGAAGAAATTTCAAAGTGGGGAGGATTGAGCGGGAAGAGAGAGAATCCTTCGGTTTTGGGCCTGATAAATGGGCTTATCGGTAATCTTGACTCCGTATACAGCCCAAAATGGAGGCCTGCTAGACTTGGACTGCATGTCTTTGTAATGTCTGGGCTTAATATCTCAAGCCTAATAATTGCAGTGATGCATTGCATAACAACTTAATCCAATAATTGGCAGAAAATGGCCTATCTTCTAGCATTTGGCACACGTAGCCTAAATTTAAAATTTAATGACCTTCTCTCTTCTAATGGCCCAACCATCACCCCAAAAATAGACTTTTATTTCTTTTTCGTTAGAATTCAAAAATCTTTCAAGATTTTCTCCCAAATCTCTACAATCTTTTTTCTATGTTTTTAAATTATTTCTCAAAAGCATTAAAAATGTTAAAAATTATAAATATAGTTTGTATATCATAGTGTATATCCAAGTGTATAACACAAATAAATTTTATTTTTTGTATATCATGCTGTATAACAAGTATACCAATATATATATCACAACTTTATTTTTCTTCTTTGTGTATATCAAAAATTTATTTTCCTTCGATAGTTGTCTATAGTTTGTATACCATGGTGTATATCCAAGTGTACAACACAAATAAATTTTATTCTTTGTATATCATACTGTATAACATGTATACCAAGATATATATCACAACTTTATTTTTCTTCTTTGTGTATCAAAAATTTATTTTCCTTCGATAGTTGTCTATAATTTATTATTATCTTTATATCCAAGTGTATAACACAAACTAATTATACTATTTGTATATCACATTGTATAATACATAATAAAACGTGTATAGCAAAATATATATCACAAATTTATTATCCTTCTTATTCTCCATCTCGGCCTTCGATTCCTCGTACTGAAAAATACCTTANGAAAAAATCCTTTATTTCACTCCACACCACAGACGACGGACTGTTCATATACATTCTTATTTTCTAGCAAACTATATCTCTCTACTAAAGCTCCATTATTACATTTACTGCCATTTACTGTTGCTACTCATTATGTTTAACACAAGCTTCATTCAATAAGGCAGTAAAACAGTAAATACTTTAACAACACAGAACTGTGCATCAAGTTTTACATCTTTTTTTTTCTTCTTCCATTTTGTCATAAATTTCGGGAGGGAAGGGGGAAGGCAGAGAACAAGAAAGGGGAGTGGACCAGCGAACAATAGAGGGAGGGCAGCAAACGGTTAGGAGAATAATTAATAAAATAGAGTAGTTTTTAGAATTGGCTATATAATGCCAATTATTTGGGGCTACCTTTGCCAAAACCTAATATAAGGCTAAAAAATTGCCAATTCCCCATATGTGTTGTCATCGGGTGTCATTTTTTCTTAAATTTGTGAAAATAGCACGGGCTAGCCAGTTTTCGGACTGGTAATCAAAAAATGGAATCTTACAGAAATGTCCCAAATAAAGTCCAACTTATCACCCTCTAGCCATTAATCATAGACTTACCAAAACTAACCAAATACATATAAATATTGAAAACCCAAATAAATAAAGTTCTTTCTCTTCAAGAACTACACGCACCATATTTTAAGAGTGATTAGCAACATTAGATGCAAGACGAAAAGAAAATTTCATGAATGAGGTATATATATATATATATATATATATATATATATATACATACATACATACATACATACATACATACATACATACATACAAAACTCTAAAAATCTGAGCAAAAAAGGATCCTTTTCAAATGGTATGGTTGAAATTCATTGAAAACATATAGATTAGTCAATATACAAAACTTGAGGAAGATTGGAAGTGATTTGGTATCAAAATTCATAGTTAAAATTGAGTTCAAAAATTCTTCTACAACACATGTATCTCGCACACAGATATATATCGATATACATGTGATACATATTTGATACAAATATGATACATTTTGTGATACACAAATGATACACAATGTGATACACGTATTATTTTTCTCTTGTTCATCTTCTGCTTCGAATTTTCAATACAAACCACCTCAAAACTCCACCAAATCATTCCAAAAACTGATATTTAAGCTCTTTAAGATGTACACAATCTATTCTAATAACACCCACTCAAAAGAAATACAAAAATTTGATCTTTGTTTTTTGCTACAAATAGCTAATTGGCTAATATTAGTAATATTTTATGAATTGACCAATTTTTATAATAAGCTACTTATAAATGGACATACCTAGTAGTTTCCCATAAAAAAATAGCAGTGTTTGCACAGTCATTGAAAATAACCACTGTTTTGCTGAAACACGGAAAATTCCAGCACAATATGTGTGATTATGGAGCTCATGCGTATGAACTTCTAGCATATTATGCTGGAACTCCAACACACAGAAAGTTCGAGCATAATAGCGGAATTATGGAACTCCTGCGTACAAACTTTCCGGATATTATGTTGGAACTGCAACACATTATGAAATTCCAGCATATTATGCTGGAAGCTCATATGTAACAAATTCGAACTCCAACATATTATGATGGAATCTTTCCGGATTTTAAGGATATTTTTGTTTAGGTTTTATTTTTACATAAAAAAGTTGGTAAGTTTTTACTACTTTTGAAAATGGGGTTATTTTTCAACTACTATGTTTTCCCCGATAAATTTGGCAAATTAAGGGTCTGAGGCAGAGAAGGGAAGACATATTGAAGTTGTTATGTCACTATCATTATTCTCTACTAGGTGCACTTCGCCAAATCATATTGAGATAACAAAACCTACTAGATATGGATTATAAATAAAAGTATTAGTAATTTGATAATTAAAATACACATATACTTAGTTGCTTATGGACTATGGTCCACTGGAAGGGAGCTATTCAACTAATAGACCAAATTCACATGAGATCTGAACCTCAGACTCAACAATTCGAGGTTAATAACTATGTTAAGTACTCAATAGTTTGAATAAGAATTACTGCTATTATTATTCTCATAAAAATAATGAATAAGTTAAACAAATAGCAAAGATAATAAAATAAAACAAAACAAAACAAAACTGGCACCTTTCATCCTTCGGTCCTTCCCCAAATCATGGTGGGCATCTCTATGAAATGGGTGTCTATCTTATATATTCTGATACTTCTAATTAATTCTAAAGATTAGACCTTCAAGTGATTGGATTGAAAATGAAAAAGAAAAATAGAAAGATAGATTTATGTCTAAACGTGTGAACCAAACACAGCGGTTCGTACTGTTAAGATCCCATAATCAATTATGTAATCCAATTATTAGCAAGGGAATCCATGAATATGCCCCAGTAATATCTCACTGTCTCCCTCAATCGGCATCTAATATAATGTAATTTATCACATTTATTTCTGTAAATATTTTTATTGCATTAATGGGATATTCATTTTAGGTATTCCCGAAGCAGAGACGGTCACAAACCCATATATATACAAATTGAGTTGTGGTAATGGAACGATATTGCTTGCACAAAAACTTGCTACCTTGTTGTTCCTATAAAAAGAAAACTCAGAAAAAGAATAAAGTTCCTTCCTCCTAAAACATGTTTTAAAAATAGTAATCACTGTTTTATTTTGGCTGTTGGACCGATATATGAGATTAGAAACATTGATTAATTAATGTTATTGGTTGTTAGAGGAAACGGTGTAACATGGCATTTCGTTATTAAAATTTGATTTTGCTCCAATTTGTTAGATAAACCATCAAAACCATACACGTAACAGGACTAGATTATTAGTATATTTTAAAATGCTATTGGATTTCTAGTTTAAATAACAACATTATTAGTAATTAAAATAAAAGAGGAAAATTTGGTCATAACCCTTTTCAACATGAAACCCGTGTTTCTTGATTTCTGGAAGGTTGAGAGCTGAGAATAAAAAGATTTAGGACTTTCTAGTGTGATTTTCTAGTTTTGATGGTTTTTTGCTGTCACTAATTATAAAGTTGACTTTAATTAATTATCATATATGATTATATGTGTGGCAAATGTCTTTCAAATCAACAAAAACTGGTGGGATTTCTTTGTCAAATCCTAATAGTAACATTGACTTAGTAACCTCTTTTGTCCAAGAGAATTTGACCATCCATTTGCTAATCATTATTATTATTATTACTTTACCTAAACACATCCCCGTTCACAACCTTTTTTTTTCTCGACTTTTATGGGAAGAAACAAAGGTATGTAGTTAAAGGGAAAACTGAAGTTCCATGATGTGTAGTTTAATTTCTTCACAGGAAATCAATCTTAACCATCTATTTTTATGAGTTTAATTTCTTCCTTGCATTTACTGCAATCAGGGTTGTATCCAGGGTAGAGACAATGGGTTTAGATACTCATAATTTTCGCTCATAACTTGTATTTTTGTCCAAATAATCATTAAGCATGTAAAAATAATAAATTTTGAGGAAACTAAACTGGACAAGATATGATAGAATTACGAATCTAAACCCATAAAGTTCAAATCCTGAATTTGCCTCTCGCTGCAATCACGCGTGAAGTTGGTCCTTGTGATGATATACTAGTCCGTTTGAATTAGAAGTACCTATTTGTACATTTATTTGACATACATACATATGAATAAGTTGATAGTTCATGAGTTTGACCTCAAACTCAATCTGTCATTTAAAAGTTAAATTGAACAAAAATCATGTGATGGGGAGAAATTTAATGCGAAAAAGAGAGCAAAGGTTGAGTCATGTGAAAAGAAGTAAATTTATGGAGGAAAAGAAAGAGAAAGGGACACATTGGTTTCTAGCTAGTACAACGCTAGGCTAGTAGTAGTAGTAGTATGAGATTTGATTGTGACGCATGTAGAAAAGCTTAATTTGTTGTAGGTGGGGGTGTTTATACAAAACCTAAAAAACCGAAAACCAAACTAAACCGACCAAAAAAATCGATACTTTTTGGTTTGGTTTGATTTTGGTTTTGAATTTTAAAAACCGATCAAATATGGTTTGGTTGGTTTTAATAAAAAA